ATTCTGAGATGCAATTTCCTGCATTCTGAAGGTCAAAAATGACAATAAATTGACAAAAAATAATTGAATTTTTTTTTTTCAATCACAGTGAAATTCATAGTTTGATACAAACTGGTCGTAGTGGTGCAAAAGGAATAGAAATTCGTATAAAATACGGATAAATCGTAGTGGTTGGCATCTCTGCATAGCCCCTCCCCTAGCATCCCCCACGCACTCCCCCCTGTATCCTCTTCACCCCCACACCGTCCTCACTTAGCACCAGAGGTGCCAACACATATTTGAAGCAATCTGTAGTTTCTGGCCATCAAATTAGTAGTTCGAGGGTCACGTAGTGACCCGAGTTTGCTAGGGGGGTCCGGCATGCCACCCAGAAAATTTTTTGATTCTGAGATGCAATTTCCCGCATTCTGGGGGTCAAAAATGACAATAAATTGACAAAAAATGACAATAAATAAAATAAAAATATATTTTTCAATCACAGTGAAATTCATAGTTTGATACAAACTGGTCGTAGTGGTGCAAAAGGAATAGAAATTCGTATAAAATACGGATAAATCGTAGTGGTTGGCATCTCTGTAGCACCCTCTTTGCATGTGCACGCCCCTTTTTTCCTGCCACTGTATTCCACCCCCTCCCCCACCCACTCCTCCCGCACTTCCTTTACCCCGCTCCCTCCTCTCGCACTTCCTTCACCCGTGTCCCTCCTCCTCCCCCTCCAGCGATTCTCCCCCGCATCCCTTCCCCCTCCCCCTGCATCTCCAAGCACGGAGGTCTTTGTCATCGGGTTTGGACAAGACGCCTCCTCCTCCCCTCCACATCTGTCCCTCCCCCCACATCTCCCCCTCCGTCCTCTCCCTCCCCCGCACCCTCCCCTACGTACCTTCAGCAGTTCCACGAGCCTGCAGAGGGCCAGCACGGAGGTCCTGGTCATTGGTTTCGACAGCACCCCTCCCCCTCCCCTCCCTCACATCCCTCTCCCCTTCCTCCCTCCCTCCTCCTCCCCCACGTACCTTCAGCAGTTCCACGAGCCTGCAGAGGGCCAGCACGGAGGTCCTGGTCATTGGTTTCGACAGCGCGACATGGAGGTTCATAATCGTACGAACCTGGTGACTCACGTTGTAAGCAAACAACAGACCCTGCGGAACGGCAGACGACACCGGTTACCACGGCGACCGTCGCGCGCGAGCAGCAGACGACACCGGTTACCACGCCAACCAGCAAGCGCGAACAGCATATGACGCGCGCTCCCTAAGGTTACCGCGTCGTGAATTCGCCGCCGAAAAACGGCGATAGGATTTCTTTGACCAAAACATTGGTCTTCCACACAACAGGCAAATATCCGTTGAATATTTTATTATTACACTAGTAATAAATTATCATCATTAGCATATATTAATTTTATTTATTAAGAAAGAAATATTTAAAACACGTAAATTAAAAATCAAGCAAAAAAAACAACGCGCACTCGCTTTTAATGCATTTCGCCGCAGCGGCAGCCGCTAGATGGAGCCACCTACCTGTATGAAGAGCACGCACTGTTTGTTCAGGTCGTCGGTGTTCATCTTGAAGGTCGCCTCCATCTTGATCATCCACGACGAGATGTGAAGGTACCAGTGGTGAACCTCCCTGCAAGCACACCAGGTGGCAGCACGGATCAGTGGCATGCCAGGGCGAGGGGCGAGGGGCGAGAGATGAATCGGACGAAATCGATTCCGTCGGTTTGTTTGCGATCGTCGAGGCGGACTGCGCAGGTCGAATGATACATTCACAGCCACGCTCACGCACGCACACACATCTGATACAGCTATAGATCGCACACTTCAATCGTCTGTGCTAACAACCTCAACCATGGTTCATACAGGAGAACTGAAAAAATTTTCAAGGACTTTTCAAGAACTTTTCAAGGACATTTTAACGGAAATTCCAGGACATTTTATCCGACATTTTATCGGAATTCATACACAGAACAAAACATACCTGGATTAATTTAATAACCCCATTCTTAATCACTGTCACCTCTAAAACATACCTGGATCACATTAACAAGTGCGCATAGCGACAGCGCTCATGACTAACCGTCTACTGCGGTGACTCTTGTGGTTGGAGTTGTGGGATTCTAGTAAACGCCTGTTTAGTCCGCAAAATGTGTTCACAAATACACGCCGAATAGTGGAATGCAGCAGAGATGGTATCAGGAACCTTCTCAAAAGATGTTTCGTTGGCCGATGCGTTATCGAAAGTTGCCGACCGAGATGGCGTGTACGTTTCAAGTGTCTTCAGATTAAAGATGCGAAGGCTCCGCATCATTCGTAGTAGCAACAACTCATTGCAAGACAGAATCTAGGTAAAGCACCATCCATTTACCTACGCAAGGCCTACAGGCTGCAAATTGCAATAGAGAGCTGCCACCTGTAACCATTAAATGCTAGCGCAAAAACTGCCCCAACCATGCTACAGCCACTGCGCAGTGGCATAACGTGACATGTAAGCATTACTGGACAGTACAGAATGACAAGAAATTATTACGATTTAAGGATATACACTTGGCTTTAACCAAATTTTAGCTTTTGAAATCATTTCACTGTGACATTGTAGCCATCATACATCCAGGCACTGTATAGATTCTACTTAGCTAAACCGGCCAGCTCAAGATTCTTTCTAAAGCAGGATCACTCAACAAATCCATGTTTAACCGCTCCTCTTGAGTAGGGGGATGGGGGCCGAGGGTTAGCAGGGAGGGGTGGGGAAAGGGTGGCGGGAGGGGTGTGGGGGAGGGGGAAAGGGAGGCGTGAAGGGAGGCGGGCCTCTAATAGCAAAAAGCATAGTTGCACTTCCGTTGTTAACAGTCAACAAATCCACTCGTTTAACCCCTCCTCTTGAGGCTGCAAAGTTATCTCGACACCTTACTCTTCGCATGTTCAGCAGGAAGGGACAATTTCATCGGTCGCTTTCAATAAAGCCATAAAAATGCTAGCGTCACCGCTGAAACAAAAAAGTTTTTTCAATCGCGCGTCAGACCATGTCCTCAGAAATGGTCTAAAATCGGCCCTGTGCCATTGCCATTTGACCTGTGACCTCAGATTTTAGGCACAGTGATGCCTTTCCTACCATGAATGCTATACACCGCTAGCACGAGCCTAGTCGAGCCGTTTTAGATTTTGTGCCGCATTATGCATATTCCTCCACTAAACCTTAAGTTAAGCGCAGTGAATGTTCCCCCGCTTCTTTTACACCTCTTGACTTCCTTTATGACTTTGACCCCCAGCTTCGACATCAAACTTCGTTTTGGACGACTCCCCCCGATGTGCGCGAATATACGCTGACCGTACGTCGAGCGGTTTAAGATTTGTGCCCCAACTGTTGACGGCCACGGACGACGCACGGACGGCGGGACGGACGATCAAGCGATTTGCTTACATAGCTGCCATCTGAACTATTGTCAGATGAGCTAATATAAACCCTTCTAGAACACTGTCACATTTCTACAACAATACCTATTTTTGTACTGACTGATTTTATTGACTTATTCTGTAAATTTGTTGATCATCATTTAACATGTCTATATCGCTGTCTTATAAGCTGTTTAACCTCATTTAACGCCAATTTTTATTTGACGGTTTTTGTCATTATGTGATGGTACAAATTCCTTTTTTATTACAGGCAACGGATTTTTCTAAAAATTCAAGGACATTTTCATGAAATTCAAGGACTTTTCAAGCACCAAAATCAACATTACTAAATTCAAGGTACTTTTCAGGACTCCTCAAATTCAAGGACTCCCCTCAAATTCAAGGACTTTTCAAGGACTGTGCGAACCATGTCAACTTACAACCTACCTGCTCTTCCTGCATCTCGGGAGAGCGTTAAACGGGAAACAATGGATTTTTAGAAATGACGAACAGTAGTAGAGAGTACAAGTAAAAACCCCTAATAATAATATAATATAATAATATAACCCTGAAGCGATGCCAGCAAACGACAACACCTGACCTTTATCTCGTGTAGAAACAAATACAGTTGCAACATGCTATACTGGGTAGCCCTATCATTGCAGTCATAATCATGAGCACCTTCTTCATGTAATGACATACCTGGACCAGGACATTTTAACAGATGGCTGGCTTAGGTGAACAGGTTGAATTATATGCTTGACAGCATAGATTGTGCACCACAACATACGCATTCTAACATGTAACTGTGCACATTGACAGGTGCTTTGACAGATGATTGGCCATACCTGTACCTATACGGTTATCGTGCACATTACCTGGACAGGTGCATAGCATACCTGGAACTAGTAATCCACATGCATACCCTGTACAGCGTGATAGCGTACCCGTGGACTAGGTAATACATGCGCATACCTGTACAGGTGATAGCGCTAGCCTTGGACAGGCTGCTGGCTCTGCTGGCGACAGGTAGTTGAGCTGCTGCTGCCCCGAAAAAACCTGCTTTTTTTTTTTCCCTGGGCCCCCGCCGTCCGAGTGCCTTCGTCATGTGGGGAAAAAAGCGCCTGCTGCTAGCAGGAAGCTCGTCGGAACACGACGACGCTTGCCAACAAGGTCGACACCGCAGGAATCTACGCCGCAGAGGAAAGTCGCTTAAGTGAGGGAGGATGAGAGAAAGGGAGGGGGAGGGAGGTGGTAGGCGGAGGGGCGGGGGGCGAGGCGACTGCCTCTGTCATGTGGGGCAAGCTGCTGTAGCAGGAAGCTCGTGGAGCCAGACGACGTGCCGAACAAGGTGTTACCAGCAGGAATCTACGCAGATGAACAATGTTAGTGAGGAGGATGAGAGGAAGGGGAGGGAGGGAGGGCCAGGGAGGGACTGCCCTTCGCATGTGGCGGAAGCTGGCTGTAGAGGCAGAAGCTTGTCGGCAAACGCAGACGAAGCGTACACCAAAGGTGCGCACCGCCAGGAATCTACGGCAGATGAACAGTGTTAGTGACGTGGAGGAAGAGAGAGAGGGGGGGAGGGAGGGGAAGGGAGGAAGGGGTGGGTAAGGAAAGGGGTGGGAGAGGCGGAAAGTCCTTGTGGGTGAGAGGAATGCAGTGAAAGACCATGTTAGTAAATAGCAGCCAAAGTAAAGAAGCCAAGAGGAATGGTTCTTCACTCCAACCAAGAATCAGGGTCAACAAAACCTTTTGCTCACATCTTAAGGTCTCTACACTGCAGCACCGCCGCACGCCAACGCAGGCCTGCACCCACACGCTACGCACGCGACGCACGGCACGCACTGCGCGACAGCGGCGACCAGCACGCACACGCCCACCGGCGCACGCGCACACGCCAACGCACGAGCACGCCACGGCACGCACGCACACACCACACACGGCACACAACGGCACGATGCACACCACACATCACACACACACACACACACATGCACCCACACAGCCCCACACATACACACACCACACACACGCCACAAGCGACTAACACACACACACAGCACAGACACGACACATACGTAAACACTATACACGCACACACTACCTTTTTATGGACGTCCCAGAGAAGCTTGAAGAGTTTTTTGTCAGATCGCTATCGATCCATAAATCTGAAGTGCTAGCAACGTAGAGGGCGCACACTCCGACGTACTTGTAGCGCTGATCGACCTCGTTCGGCTCGCCTGCGACAAACACAAGGCAGTCTTGTGTGAGTGTGTGTGTCGGGAAGGGCGAGATAATGCGATGACAAAATACGGCTGATTGTGATGGTGTGCAGCATGAAATTACGCAACTTGTACCACTTCATCACTATCCTCTTGTCTTGTCTCTTGTCTTCTGTCTCTGTCTCTGTCTGCTGTCTCTGTCTCTGTCTCTGTCTGCTGTCTCTGTCTCTGTCTCTGCTCTTCTCTGCTCCTCTGTCTCTGTCTCTCTGTCTCTGTCTTGTCTCTGCTGTCTGTCTCTCTGCTCGTCTCTCTCACTCTCTCTCTCTCAGTCTCTCTCTCTCTCTGCCCCCTCTGCCCTCTCTTATGCCCTCCCTCTCTCTCTTCGCCCTTCCTCCTCACGCCCCTGCTCCCCTCTTCTCGCCCCCCATTTCCTCTCTCTACCCTCCCTCCTCTCTCGCCCTTCGCGCGCTCCTCTCTCCCCATCGCTCCCCCTGCTTTCCGCCCCTCCCGTCTCTTCTCGTCCCGCTTCCTCTGCGGCCCCCTCTCACTGCTTCGGCTCCTCTTCCCTCTCGCGCTTCTCTCCCCTGCCCTCTCCTCTCTGCTCCGCTTCTCTGCCCCCTCCCTCTCTCTCTCGCCCTCCTCTCTCCCTCTCCCCTTCCATCTCGCCCTGCTGCTTCTCTCCCCTTCCTCTCCCTCCCCTCACTCTCTCCCTCTCTCTCCACCTCTTACCGATCTTATTCTCGATCATAGTGTAGATCGCACGGATGTTCAGGATGAACTCCTCGGCCAAACGATAGAGTTAGTGTAGATCGCACGGATGTTCAGGATGAACTCCTCGGCAAACGAGGAGTTCTTCGTCACGAACGCGCTGCTGCTGTCGAACATCTGCTCTATGCAGTTCTGCAACGCGAACGAACAACACAGAACGTGAACGAACAACACAGAGCGTGAACACAACACACACAGAACACATTGAACGTCGACTCATCGATCGGTCTCACGGATGGATTGATGGATTTATGGACCGAACGATTTACGAATAGATCGATTTATGGATCGAGTGATTTACGGAATTAGTTAGGGATCGATTTATCTGGCAATAAATTATGTTGATGATTGTTGGTAGCTAACCGATTTATCAATTCGTTGATCAAATTATTGATCGAATGATTGAATGATCGATCGATTGATTTATTGATTGATTGACGTACGCGTAGGATCATCCGGTCCATCAGCTGTCCCTCCAGTTTCATCAGCAGCTTTTCGAACAGTCGCAGCTTCGCGACCTCTATGTTGAAGGTCGCGGGGTTCGCGCGAACCGACTTCAACATCCTGTAATACAAGCGCATGTTCGTGAACTACGTGCTGAAGGTCGCGACCTCCACAGCGAAGGTTGCGGGGGTCGCGACCTCCACAGCAAAAGTTGCGGGGGTTGCGACCTCCACAGCAAAGGTCGCAACCTCCACAGCAAAGGTCGCAGGGGTCGCAACCTCTACGTTAAAGGTTGCGGGGTCGTGACCTCTACATTGAAGGTTGCAGGGGTCATGACCTCTACGTTGAAGGTCGCGGGGGTCGCAACCTCTACTACGTTGAAGGTTTCAAGGTCGTGACCTCTACATTGAAGGTTGCAGGGTTGTGACCTCTACATTGAAGGTTGCAGGGGTCATGACCTCTACATTGAATGTCACAGGGGTCGCAACCTCTACGGTGAAGGTTTCAAGGTTGTGACCTTTACGTTGAAGGTTGCAGGGGTCGTGACCTCTACATTGAAGGTTGCAGGGGTCGTGACCTCTACATTGAAGGTTGCAGGTTTTTTGATAGCGCCCCCTGGTTGTCGAATAGCCCGCCGTTCACACCCGCACACAGGTGGCGCCACTCACCTCTTGTAGAGCGTCCAGTGTTCTCGCAGCGCCCCCTGGTTGTCGATGATCTCGTCGAGCGTGAGGAGAACGGTCAGCAGTTCGCCGAGATGTTCGAACACGATCTGCAGGTGGACGCCTCCCACGTCCATTGCTCGCGCCACGCCCCTGCCAACAACNAACGTGAACAACACCCCCCACGATCTGCCACCCCTGCTCTACCTGCAGTGAGATGGGATCTAGGGAGAAGTCCCACGCGTCGGCGATCGCCTCATCCAGTGCCTTCTCTATACCCCTCAGCTGACTGCAGTAGTCCTCGAGAAATCGCTCGTACTTCCGCACCTGGACCTCGCCAACGATCTCTGCAAAAGGTCGCCAAAAGTTCGGCAAACGTATATAAATGTTTGTCAATAGTAATAATAGTCTCGTCTCAAAAACAATAGTAAATACTAGTAAATAACTGTTTGATTTAGTAAATATTAGCCTTGTCTCAAAAACAGTACTAAAAACTAGTATATATAAATGTTTGTAAATACTAAATATTAGTCTTGTCTCTCAACACAGACAAGAAGTGAATCTTGCGCCGGCAAGGGTGTTCGAGCAAATCCGAGAAAGAATGCGCGTGCCCGATAAAGGCGGCCTCGAATCGGACATATTTTACGCGTGTCAACCAACATGCGGTGCGGGACCGCGGCGCGAGGTTTGTAATCGCATTTGTTTGCTTGCACGCGTGATTTCTCCTACACCATTCATTAAAATTATTCAAGATAACCAGAGGCTAGAATTTATCTAGCTGCTTAATACGGGCACCCATGGCGAGCATAGCAAGGCCAAAAAAAATGTCGTATATTTTTTTAGGTTTATGGCCCGTAGATGTATAACATTAAATTTTATTCAGATAATAGATTATAGATCTTATATGAGCATTTTATTATAAAACAGTGCATAACGATAGAAACATGAAGATTTAATTTTCACAATTTTCAGAGCTCTGCTAATTTGGACATTTTATGAATTTTGTAATTTGGACGTTTTTCTAGGGGTCGTAATTTGGGCATTTTTCTAGGGGTCGTAATTTGGGCGCCGGTATTCGGTATGAAAAATGGCTTGAACTAGGCCCTGATAACTTTTGCATCTTTTGGCCTTAGCCAACTTAGTATTCTTACACAATAACTAATATTTTACCATAACAATAAAGTCCTTGCACTTTTGCAGGAAATCAAGTTTTTTCAGAGGTCAACAAGTGTCGTGGTTTATTACCTAAGTTGTGCGCAGGATCTAGCAGTGTTAGACGTGAAGGCACGAGATCATGCAAGGAGAGATTGTGACACCCGCAATATGTTTTCGCATGTGTTAAAGGAACAGTAGCCTCTAGGTTCTAGGGTTATTTTCAGCTAATTTAGGTTATAATTGCGCCTCATAAAAAGTTTCATGGTTCAATCACCATTAGAAATATTTTTTTTTGAAATTTTATTGTTTTAAAACTAACGACTACAGTCTTTGATTACAACGACGCGGTGGCGCCACTCAAAGCGCACGATCTGAGAAGTTGCGCAAAAACCACTTTTCCAGCCAAGGGCTACAGACGAGACGGTATTTCTTATTTATTTCATTTAAAAGCAAAAGGGATTGTAATATCTTTATAACGAATATAGTTTCAGTTTATATGGAGTTAAATTTTGCCCTGAAATGAATATGTTCGTGTAAATAGCATACTTAGGTAAATAAATATATTGCACTTTTGTGATTAGCCTCGCGTCATTTACCTGCAAATAAAAATGCAACATACGCAACTTTTTGAGGATGGCAGCCGGTCGCGGGTGTCATGGCGCCGTTCAAATTTCGTCAGCGTTGATGTGCTAATAATTAATTAAGTATCTGGTGACAAATACATGTGGGTATAGACAATTTGTTTATACAGTAAGTAAGTACAGTAGTATGCAGTAAAATCCTATGAGGTACTGTCCCTTTAATCTAATCTGGGGTGCTAAACTAGGCTTGGGCCGTAGACATGTGCTAGTAAACACACTACACAGGCATGTTTGATGGCCACCAGTGTTACGGTGTTAGTTGTTACGTCAATAAGGCTGAGAGGGTCTATGTCTCCCTGGGTACTGCCGGAACGTACCCTGGTAACTACTCTAACTCAGCCTACCGTTACCTCGCCTACTCACTAACGAGTCTTAAGGGAGTCCGCTACGCCTACTCCCCTAAACCCTATACCATATCAGATAGTTACCAGGTATATGTTCCGAGTATACCCGACCGTACCAGGTACGTTCCGCAGTACTCATGGAGACATGCATAGAGCGTCATAGGTCTATGTCCCCAAGGTACTGCCGGAACGTACCCTGGTCACTATTTGATATGGTTTAGGGTTAGGATTAGGGTCAGCTTAAAAATTACTTTTTTTTTTACGAGAGCTCTTTTTTGATTTGTATGAAAAAAAGAGCTCTTCGTAATTTTTTCTACGGTGAGCTATTTTAGGCTTGGCCAGAGCTACTTTTCATAGCATGATTTTTGTTTAAAATTGTCATAATTTTATGCACTGACCCAATTATATCATTCATCAGGCATTCAGCAGCTCGAGCCCCCCACACACCGCAGTCACTCTACGGACCTCATCCACCGTGTTAGAATCGTCACACAACATCCTACATTCCTGATCACGCCCTCCGTCTCTATTCAGATTCTCCATCGTCCACACACGAGTAGACACTTGCCCCTCCCACACCCCCCCGGTACCACGCCAGCGACCCGTCCTCCCCGCCCCGCACGTTCCGACCCCCGGCGGTACCGGACAGCAAGACCAGAAATTCCCAAGACTTCAATAATCCATCGGTAATGCCGCCCTGGTCCATGGCTCCTATTTTACACGGTTTCTTTTTCTACCCTTCACTTTATTTTCATTCCGCTTCAAGACCTACTTATCTTTACTATACATCCCGCATTCAGTACCCCCTCCCCCTACCTGACGCAGTTCAGGAACTTTCACCGATACGACGAGTGCTTGTACGTCCGTCCACTCCTTGCAGTCCCCCCCGCTGGGCCGTCGACGATGAGTCCTTCCAACACAACGCAGCGGCCCATACCTGGCGGACACTCCTACTCCAGGCGACATGCCGCCCGCCGTCAGCCCTTCCCGCCCGTCCTCAGCGGCTAAGGTCCCCTTTCACTTCTCGGACTTCGCTTGCCCCTGCCTCCCAGTCCACCGGCTTACTCCCCATGGCCACCTAAATCCCATTCGCTTGCCCCCGCGCACATCCGCCAAAGTTACAGTGCTAGAATCTTTTTAAGTTATACAGTTTAACCGATTGCTTCTCTAGATATCTAAGCTGAATAAAAATAGTCCACTTTCTACAATCAGGTGGACGAAATTCAGGTTAACAGCTTTGGTTGCTGGCCGTGTCATGATGTCATGGTCGTGCCCTCACTCCCCACCGATAATTAACCCCTGGCGAGTATTAAAAACCTTATTGTTAAATGCGGGTACCGTAGCAAAACACTTGTTGGGCTCGGGCATCAGGGTGTCGGAACCTTAATTTCTACTCCTGCCGGCTGCACTGGAGCGATCTTTTTTCTCGTATCTTCCAAAAATTTTACGCTTCTCGTAATTGTTTAGTTACCAGAGCGCTTTGCAAAGCTGACGGAGAGCGAAATCGTCGCCCGCTCCGGTTATTTTTTCGGCTGATTAGGGTTAGGGCTTCGAGTTCGGTTAGGAAGTAGGCGTAGGCGTAGCTTCTAGCTACTATAGCCTGCGGCAGCGATCCGCGGGCTATAGTACTAGAGCTAGCGTAGGCGACTCCCTAGACTCGTTAGTGGAGTAGGCGAGGTACGATCCGGCATATTAGATAGTACCAGGGTACGTTCCGGCAGTACCCCGAGGGACATAGACCCTATGAGTATGAGCGTCAATAAGTGTTATCTCTGTGTATATCGCACAGGCTGAGGATATAAGAAATCGGATTATAGCAACTTTTTTTCATACTACATCGTACGACATCTGCTCACATCGTTCGATAAAGTGATTTAGCGGAAGTGCACAAAATTTAAAGTATTACTAGATTACCTAGACTAATATTAATTTTAAGAGTAATTTTAATGTCCGGTGCGGCGGTAGGCCTAGTAGGAGTAGGCCTAGGAGTAGGAGAAATCATGTGACATGTATGGATGTATGTAAACAAACGTCTGGGACGCGAATGTTGCGCTTTCGTCGCATGGCACGCGTCTGCACATAAAAAAATGTCGTGTTCGCGACCACTTCTTCCGCGTGCATTGTCTTTCAGGTTTCTTATAGAATGATGAACCTACGCAATGATCCATCGTCAAACTTATCGAACTCCCAATCCTCCCTCTTTTCGACTGCCATCATTGACTGCTCACTTGGTTCCACGCAATATGGCGAATGTCATTTCTACTCGTAGTTCTAGCTTTTCTCACTACGTGGCAGTACTATCCGGTGCTTGCTTGCTTGCTTAGTGCACTCGTATAGAATTTTCGAGATCATTTCGAGCTATCTAAGCATCAGAATAAAATTAGGAAGATAATCGAAGATTAGTAACATTAGTAATTACGATATTATTTTTTTTAAATTACACGCGCACACAGTAACACACGCGCGCACACACTAACACAGTAACACATGCAGGCACATGCACACTAACACACGCACTCACACAGTAACACAGTAACACATGCAGGTCATGCAGGACATGCAGGCACGTGTACACTAGTACATAACAAAGACGCGCACACAGTAACACACGCGCGCACACAGTTATACACAGAACGCGCTTGCACACTAAACACGCGCGTGCACACTAACGCACGCGCGGATTTAACACAAACAGGCACACGCTTTTTCTCTCTCTGTCTCTCTCTCTCTCTCTCTCTCTCTCTCTCTCTCTCTCTCTCTCTCTCGTCGTCGCTGCTCTTTCCTCTCTCTCTCTCTCTCTCTCTTCTCTCTCTCTCTCTCTCTCCCTCTCTCTCTCTCTCTCCTCTCTCTCTCTCTCTCGTTTCTTCTCTTCTCTCTCATCTCTCTCATCTCTCTCTTCTCTCTCTCGCTCTTGTCGCTCTTCTCTCTCTCTCTCTCTCTCTACTCTCTGTTCGCTCTCCTTTCTCCTCTCTTTCTCTTCTCTCGCTCTTTTCGCATCTCTCTCTCCTCTCTCTCTCTCTCTCTCTCTGCTCTTTGCGTCTTCTCTCTCTCTCTCTCTCTCTCTTGTCTATCTCTTCTCTCGTCTTCGCTCTCGTCTATCTCTCTCTCCTCTCTCTCTCTCTCTCGCTCTCTTCTCGCTCTCTCTCTCATCTCTCTCTCTCTCTCTCTCTTTTCGGTCTCTCTCTCTCTCTCTCTCTCTCTCTCTCTCTCTCTCTCTCTTTCTCTCTGTTCGCTCTTATCGTCTCTTCTCTCTCTCCTCTCTCTCTCTTAACGTATTATATATATATATATATTAATACTTGATATAATATATATTCCATACATATTATAAATTCAATGCTATACAATTACTTGCTAAATCGTATGTATGTGTTTCTCGATTATATTCGCAGTCATGTGTTATACATTTCATTCTGTTTTATGTTATTGTTATACACATGACGCGAATATAATTGGAGAAACATACGTAATATAGCAAGTGTAATTTGGAGCACATGTTGAGTCGACGGACACAATCTCCAAGGCGATGTACACATATACTGACACAATAATGTGATTAACATATGAGTCAAAAACTATGTCCATCAATGCTTTCTCTTGAGAGTTATTTTGATGCGATTACAGATTGAAATGTATACACATGACGGCGAGATATAATTGACAAAACATACATATATTAGCAGTGGTAATTATGAGCACATGTTGAGGCGACGGAGCAGCATCTCCAAGGCGAGTACACATATACTGACACATAATGATTAACATATGAGTCAAACTATGTAACATCAATTGCTTCATCTGATGGAGTTATTTTGATGCGATTTACAGATTGAAATGTATTATCACATGTACGCGAATATAATTGACGAAACCATAGATATATCTAGCAAGTGTATTTCATGGAGCACATGGTTGAGGTCCGAACGGAGCACATCTCCAGGGCGATGTACGCATATACGGACACAATAGATGAATTAACATGCAGTCAGAAACTATGTAAGCATTCAATGCTTTTCACTTGATGAGCTATTTTGATGGCGATTACCAGAATAAATGTATACACATGACGCGATATAATTGGAGGAAAACATACAGTTATTTAGCAAGTGTAATTTATGGAGCACATGTTGTTGGAGTCGATGGAGCACATCTAGCAAAGCGATTGTAACACATATACTGACACCATAATGATATACAAGAGTCAGAAAATAAATTATAGTAACATCAAATTAATGCTTTTTTCTGAGGAGTTATTTTGATGCGATTACAGATGAAAAGTATACACATGACGCGAAAGTAATGTGAGCAACTATACATATTATTAGAAAGTGTAATTTATGGAGCCACATGTTGAGTCGATGGAGCACATCTCCAAGACAATGTACACATATACTGACACATAATGAATTAAACACAGTCAGAAATAAATAATATGTAACTATCAATTAATGCTTTCTCTGAGGAGTTATTTTGATGCGCATTACATGATGAAATGTATACACATGACGCGAATATAAATTGAGAAAACATATCATACAATACTAGCTAAGTGTAGATGTTATGGAGTCACATGTTGAGAGTCGACGGGCACATGCTCCAAGGGCGATGTAGGCATATACTGAACACAATAATGATTTAACATGAGTCAAGAAACTATTGGTAACATCAAATGTCTCGCCTGGGGATTATAGTTTTGCATGCGATTATACGAGATGAAATGTATACACATGACGCGAATATAATGAGAAATACATACATATATATAGCAATAGGTGTAATTTATGGAGCAGCATGTTGAGGTCGACGGAGCACATCTCCAAGGCGATTACGCATATACTGATACAGTAATGATTAACATATGAGTCAGAAGAACTATGTAACATCAATGCTTTCCCTGAGGAGTTTATTGAATGCGATTACAGATCGAAATGTATACACATGACGCGCATATAATTAAGAAAACATACATATATTTAGCAAGTGTAATTTATGAGCCCATGTTGAGGTCGACGGAGCAGCATCTCCAAGGCCGATTGTACGCATATTACCTGATACATAATGATTAACATATGAGTCAGGAAACTATGTAACATCAAAATGCCTTTTCTCTGAGGAGTTATTTTGATGGCATTACAGATGGAATGTAGTACCCAATCGGACGCGAATTATAATTGAGAAAACATAACATATGTAGCAAGTGTAATTTATGCAGCGAAGATGTTGAGGTCGATGAGCACATCTCCAAAGCGAATAGTAGCCTACACATATACATGACCACATGAATGATTAGCACGACGTCAGAAAATAAATATATGTAACATCAATGCTTTCTCTGAGGAGTTTATTTTGATGCGTTACAGATGAAATGTCATACACATGACGCGAATGATAATTGAGAAAACATACAGTATATTAGCAACATTGTAGATTTATGGATCACATGTTGAGTGGTCGACAGGAGCACAGTCTCCAGGCGATGTACGCATATATCTGACACCAATTAAATGATTAACATGAGTCAGCAACCTATGTAAACATCAATGCTTTCTCTGAGACTATTTTTGATGCGATTACAATGGAATGAAATGTTATACACATGACGCGAATCATAATTGAGAAAAAGCAATACATATATGTAGCATAGTGTAATTTATGGAGCAACATGTTGAGGTCGATGGAGCAGCATCTCCAAGGCGAGTACTGCATATACTGACATATAATGATTCACAATATTGAGTCAAAAACTACTGTAACATCAATGCTTTCTCGACGGAAGCTATTTTGATGCGATTACAGATAAATGTATACACATGACGCGAAAATATAATTGAGAAAATCATACAATATTTACAAGTGCAAATTATGAGGCACATGTTGAGGTCGATGAGCACTATCTTCCAAGCGATGTACACATATTACTGACACATAATGATTAACACGAGTGAGAAATAAATGATATGATAACATCACACACTGCTCATATAGTTAGCATATATATATATAATATACTATATATATATGATATAATATATATATAGTATATGTAGGCTATAATGTTAGGCGTAATGCTAGGTGTATATGTTACGCTATGCGATGTGCGAATAACTGCCTTGCATTTGGCACGTATTGGTGGTAGCCATATTGCGTGACGGTCAATCAAGACCTGGAGGTGTGACCCAAAGGATGCACCCCACATTTGGCCTGCTATTCGCACCGCGGCAACATTTGCTGCTATTCGCACCGCGGCACATTTGCTGCTATTCGCACCGCGGCACATTTGCTACTATTCCACCGCGGAAACATTTTGCTGCTATTTCGCACCGCAACATTTGCTTGCTATTCGCACAGCGGCACATTTGCGACTATTCGCAGATGCCTTGATTATTGAACGCGGACTATTGCAAGTAGAACACAGAAGGCAAAAGCCATGACATGAGTTTACTCAATTATGTTACATATAGTAACAATATTATGTAATATCAAGAGTGTTATTTAAAAATTCTTAATACGCCTCTGGTAATATATAAATCTTAATATATAATATTATATATATATTATACCCCAGGTTTATTTCAAGTTGTTCTAGGTTCAACAACTATTAAACGCACAAAAATTTAATGACAAACTAGTTTTGTAGTCGACCTGTCAAAGATTAGGAGAGGCGTAAACGTTGTAATCAAATGACAGGGATTGGATAGTGCAAACGTCTAATTACAATAAAAATTTTGATGGCGATTACTAGATGAAACTGTATGTACACAGACGCAAATATAATTGAAGAAATCATACATATATTAGCAATGTAATGTTTATGAGCACATGTTGAGGATCGAACGGAGCACATCTCCAAAAGGCGATGTTAAACCATATGACTGATAACATAATGATTTACATATGAGTCAGAAAACTAATGTAACATCATGCTTGTCTGCTGGAGGAGTTATTTTGACCTGCGATTACAGATGAAATGTGATACACATGACGCGAATATAATTGAAAAACATACATATATTAGCAAGTGTAATTTTATGGAGCACATGTTGGAGGTCGACGAGCACATGCTCCATAGCGATGTACCATATACTTGATATCATAATTGATTTAACATATGAGTCAGAAAACTATGAACATCAATGCCTTTGCTCTGATGAAGTTTATTTTGATGCGAATTACAGATGAATATGTATACCAGTGACAGCGGATATAATTGAGAACATACATATTTAGCAAGTGTTAATTATGCAGCACATGTTGAACAGGTCGATGGAGCACATCTCTCAAGGCGATGTAGGGCCTACACATTATATCTGACACATATATGATTAGGCACAGTCAGAAAATAAAATAATATGTAACATCAAATGCTTTCTCTGAGGAGTTATTTTGATTGCGAATTTACAGATTGAAATGTATAACACATAACGCGAATATAATGAGAAACCATACCATATATTTAGCAAGTAATTATGGAGCACATGTGGAGGTCGACGGAGCACATCTCCAAGGCGATGTAGCGCAAGTATACTGACAGCATAATGAATTAAACATGAGTTCAGAAATCTATGTAATCATCAATGCTTTCTCTGAGGAGCTATTTTGATGCGATTACAGATGAAATGTAATACACATATGACGCGAATATAATTGAGAAAACCATACATATATTAGCAAGTGTGAATTTATGAAACACATGTTGAGGTTCGATGCGAGCACATCTCCAAAGGCGATGTACGCAATCTAACTGACATATAATGATGTCAGCATATGAGTCAAAACACTATGTAAATCAATGCTTCCTCTTGTAGGAGCTATTTTGATGGCGATTACAGATGAAGATGTATACAGCATGACGCGAATATAATTGAGAAAACATACATATTTAGCAAGTTGCAATTTATGGAGCACATGTTGAAGGTCGATTGAGCACATCTCCAAGGCGATGTACACATATTACTGACAACATAATGATTAACACAGATAGAAAATAAATTAATATGTAACATCAATGCTTCATATAGTAGCATAATATATATATATATATATATATATATATATATATAATATATATTATATGGTAGTGCTATAGATGTTAGGCGTATGGTCTAGGTCGTATATGTTACGCTATTGCGATGTGCAATTAACCTTGCAATTTGCACGTATGTGGTGTATGCCATAGTTGCTGACGTCATCATAAGACCTGGAGGTGTGACCCAAAGAATTGCACCCCACATTTTAGCTGCTAGTTCGCACCGCGGCCACAATTTTGCTGCTATTCGCACACGCGGCACATTTGCTGGCTAATTCGTCACCGCGGCACATTTGTACTATTCGGCACCGCGGCACATTTGCTGCGTAATTCGCACCGCGCACAGTTTGCTTGGCTATTCGCAACCGCGGCCACATTTGCACTAGTTCCGCATGCTTAGAGTTATTGCGCGACCCTATGCATTTAATAAAAAAAAAAGAAAAGAACATCAGGAGGCTTGCACAATGACCATTGAGTTTATCTCAATGTATTGTTACATAATACAATATATGTAATATCAAGAGTGTATTTAAATATTCTTAATAACTTCCTCTCTTGTAATATATAATCTAATATATATATAATATAGTATATTATACCCGCAGTTTATTTCAAAGTTTGTTTCAAGGTTCAACAACTGATTACGCACAAAAATTTGATGACAATATTTTTGTGGTCGGATGTAAAGAATGAGAGGGCGTAACTGATCAAATTGACAGGGGATGAGTAGTGAAATGTCTAATTTAAAGTTAAAATTTTGATGCGATTTACAGATGAAATGTATGTACACATGAGCGCAAATATAATTGAGAAAACTATACATAATATTAGCAGTGTAATTATGAGCACATGTTGGAGGTCGACGGAGGCACATCTCCAAGCGATGTACGCATATACTGAAACATAATGACTTAACATAAGGAGTCACGAAACTATGTAACATCAATGGCTTTCTCTGAGGAGTTAGTTTTGAATGCGAATTACAGATGAAAGCTATACACTCATGGAACGGCGATATAAATTGAGAAAACAGTACATATAATTAGCCAATGTACATTTATGGAGCACATGTTGAGGTCCAGACGGGAGCACATCTCTCAAGGCGAGTGTACGCATATACTGACACATAATGGTAAGTCATGGTCAGATATACTATGTAACATCAATGCTTTCTCTGACGGAGCTATTCTTGATGCGATTTACAGAATGAAATGTATAGGGCCACTGTATACGATACAATAATGTAACCCAAACCCAAGAGGATAGGGGCCTATCCCCTATGGACCCTATCCTCTTGCGCCTATCCCCTAGGACCCTATCCTCTTGGGTTTGGGTTACAATTATTGTAATCTAGTATCGACTGTAACGCGGGCTACTATACTAGACCTAGTATCGATCGCGCGCGCGTGCGTGTGTGTTGTGTTGGTGTGTGTGTGCTGTGTGTGTGTGTTGTTGTGTGGTGTGTGTGTGTGTGTGTGTGTAATGTGTGTGTTGTGTGTGTGTGGTGTGTGTGTTGTGTGGTTGTGGTTGTTTTGTGTGTGTGTGTTGTGTGTCGGTGTGTGTTGTGCGTGCTGCGCGCTGCGTATGTGAGTGACGAGTCACTACCAGCAAGATCGAGGTGCGCCTACATGATTCTGTACTCATACTGGCTGGCCTGTTCTTTGTTTGGAACAGACTGGAGTTTGCCGTCGCATGGAAACTCTGAATCTCATGCTCTAAGCTGAGAAAGCTGACTGCTGAAAGCTAGAAAGCAGTTGAGTGGAGGTATTTATAAGTGTTACAACTATAGTGTAAGTAGTTCGAAGTAACTTAAATAACCTATACTGCCTAATAGCGGTACTAAACGTCCCTTTTTAGTTCTATATTTTCACAAGTCAGTGCAGAAATATTCTATGGAAGAAATCCTTTGATGACTACGAATAACAGATATTAAATTACATATGATAGATATAGATAATATATAAGAGAGAGAGAGATAATATTATGTATGATATACATGCGTACAGACATTTAATTGGCACGTTTTGTTTCTGTGAAACAGATTAAAGTTGCATCACATGGGATACCAAGCCATCTCCATCTACCGAATTAGCCCGGGGCGCCCGCCCCCCCCCCCGGCCGCCGCCAGTGATTGAAGAGATGTGAAGGTGGCGAGTGAGACACAACACGCAACACAGAGAAAGATACACATAAGAGAAAGAGTAGAGGAGGCATAATGCGGAGGAGAGAATAAAATCAAAAGCCCAAGAAGTTTATGTATATATACACACACACAGAGAAATTGATCTATCTATCTATCTATCTAGCTATCTATATTAATATATAATGATGTTTACCTAGAAGTAGAATGAATTAATTCCAGGAATTATCACTATGTATAGTAACGAGAGCTAATAATACCTTATTATAGCTCAGCTCCTATTATATAGAGTATTTTTAGCTCTTGATTGTAATTATGCTTTTATTCATTTCTGAAAATATTATATAGGAAGGTTCGTGATTTGATATGTGTATAATTAGTATTATATAATAATAATAATGTTTATCTGGAATGTTTGTATTAAGAAATAAACACTGTATTGTTGTTATGTGTGCAAATATCTGCAGATTAGGATAGCCGAAATATTCATTTGATATGAGGATTAATACTATATATATATATATAATATATATATATATATATAA